GGAGGATTTGGATGAGGTCATGGCTGAAGATATGGAGGCGGAGGATAAAGTGGGAAGGGGTTTTAATTCCCAGGAGTTGGATACAGGTAGAAGTGCAACAAAAGTGGGGATGAATGTGCAAGTCTATATGAAGACTCATGGAAGACCTTTAAATGTGGGGGTACCTGACCTTAATGAAGTCGCTATACCTGAAGCTGTCATGCATGATCAAATGGTTGATGATTCGAGGGTAATTCTACCATATATGGGACTGGTGACGGAGGGATCCCCAATGGGTGTTGAGGTTGATTGTTATCAATCAAGGGAACAAGTAGTCATGAGACAACCTCAACCTCTAATGTTGTTTGGTTCTGAGATCCTGACATAATGTAACTTACAGCTAGGGAAATTTTAGAATTTAAACAATCAAACTGCAGCAAATGGGACGGGCAACCGTCCACGTGATCATGCTGATTTAGTCTTGGGTAGTGAGAACATGGTGCAGCAGGCTGAACTAACCATATCCTTAGGGTCCGATCCATTTAATCTTGATCCTCTTATCTTTGGTATGAGGGAGTTGGCTGGAAAAAAGTTTAAACACCACTCGGGATGTAATACAGGAAGTAAAAGGTTATTTCGTGCCTAGTTTGTTCCACTTGAACTGGGTAAACGTGTGGATAGAGATATGGATTATATTGGAGGTTCCCAGGTAACCAAAAGACGTGTCGAGCACAATGAGTTGCATTAGTTGGAATTGCTGGGGGCTTGGGAACCTCTGTGCAATTCAAGCGCTAAAAAGACTTGTTCTCTTTAAAGATCCCATTATGATTTTTCTACGCAAAACAAAAAGCTACAAGGAACATATGGAGAAGCTTAAATCACAATTACAGTTTGATCGTGTGTTTGCGGTAACAAGTTCAGGAAGATCTGGTGGGTTGTGTGCTATGTGGAAGGAGGACGCTTAAATATCACTCTGCTCTTATTCATCGAATCACATTGATCTCGAAGTGGGAGGAGTGGGAGAAGCGCTTCACTGGATATTGACATTCTTCTATGGTTATCTAGTTGAAGTCGAGTGTCATAAATCTTGGGAACTATTAAGCCGTCTTAAGGACACTTCATCATTACCTTGGTGTTGTTTGGGCGACTTTAATGAGGTCATCCAAGATATGGAACAAGAAGGTGGTGATATACGAAGTGAGAGGCAAATGGAAGGATTTCAGAATGCTTTAGCAGAATGTGATCTGCAAGATATGGGCTTTGTTGGCAATAAATTTACTTGGGCTACAACAAGGGGCATAGGTATAAAGGTGAGGTTGGATCGAGGCTTGGCCACTCAGAGTTGGATTGAGTTATTTCCTAGGTTTCGAGTTGTTCATATGAAACTAACATCGTCGGATCATATACTGATTTTGTTAGAATGGGAAGTCAGGAAAAGAGCTAAGCTTAAGGTATGAAGATGGGTGGTCCGTGAGTGACGGTTGTGAGGTTGCGGTATAGGTGGGTTGGTCTTCCATGTGTACTAGTTCCCTGATGTATCAAGTCACGGAAAAAATTAAAGCGACGAGAGTGCAGTTGTTGAAGTGGGTGAAGAGTATGGAGCGGTCCATCCCAGGTGAAATAGTGGAAATGGAAGATAAATTACAAGCTTTGTTTGGAAAACCATTCACTGAAATGAGTATTGCACAGAGGCATGAATTGTATTCTAGGTTTATCAACATTATTGGATGCATGAGAGGCCTAAGGCAAATTAAAAGGGATAAAGGTTTGTAATGATGCACCTAGTATAAATCATCTGCCCTTTGCGGATGATAGTTTTATGTTTGCGAGGAGTACTTTACAAGAATGTTATGAGTTGAAGACCTTATTGTGAATTTATGAAGAAACCTTGGGGCAAACAGTTAATCTATTGAAAAGCGGGGTGGCATTTAGTACCAATGTAAATGAGGTGGATGCTCAGTTGCTTGCGAATTGTTTGGGTATGACTCGTGTGAAATACCATGAGAGGTATCTTGGCCTTCCGGTGTACACGGGTAAGACAAAGAAACAAACATTTGCATATATCAAAAATAGGTTATGGAAAAAACTTAATGGTTGGCGTGGGGGTCTCATAAGTATTGCGGGAAAAGAGATCTTAATTAAAACTGTGGTCCAAGCTATTCCGTTATACACCATGCAGCCCTTTTTGCTTCCAAAAACGTTATGTGAGGAATGGAACCAAATGGTTACTCAATTTTGATGGGGAAAATAAGTCGGCAAAATAAGCATTCATTAATTGAGCTGGCAGTGAATGTGCAAGCCAAAAAGTGAAGGAGGTTTAGGTTTCAAAGATTTGTACGCCTTTAATCTTGCTTTGCTTGCTAAGCAATGTTGGAACATTATAAAACAACCACACTCTCTGGTGGTCCAAGTTTTTAAGGCTTAATATTTCCACGAATTGGATTTTCTACATGCCTTAGTAAAGTCCAATTCTTCTTATTGTTGGAAGAGCATTGCATCAGCTAGGGTTCTGATCCACTGATGAGCTAGATGGTGTGCAGGTGATGGTTTAAAGATAAAAATCTAGGGGGATTCTTGGTTGCTGAGAGAGAACTAGGCCAAGGTGTTGAGTCTGATACCTCTCGGAGTTCACCCTAATCTTATTGTTTGATATTTGATGGTGGAGGCGGATCGTATGAGATGGAATATGCAAGTGGTTTCTCGAATGTTCTTCCCTGAGGAGGTCAATCTTATTTTAAGTATTCCTTTGAGTTTCTTTTATCCGCATGATGAGTTGATTTGGATCAAAGAGCCTAAAGGAGTATTCATGACTAAGAGTACATATTTTGTAGCTCGGACTTGTAGTGACATCTGTGGGGATGTTCCCGTGGGTTCTGAGATGCTAGTAGAGATCAAATTCCTATGGAAGGCACTTTGGCGTGCTAAGGTACCGGGGAAGATAAAAATTTGCATATGGATGGGTTGCTTAAATGCTTTGCTGACTAAAGTAAACTTGAAGTTGAAGAAGGTTGTACTGGATGACTATTGTGTTATCTGTGAGACTGTACCTGAAACGATCGAGCATATTATGTTGCAGTGCCCCCATGCTAGAGCTACATGGTTTGCTAGTTCGTTGGGTTTACATCATATGCAACAAGGAGATGTAGGGTTGCAAGATTGGGTGGCAAAGATGGCTTTTATGATGTTCAGGGAGAGCTTTGATCTAGTCGTTATGTTGATGTGGAATATTTGGAAAGCATGTAATGAGTTATTATGGAGGGGCTCAACTTTACCACCACAGGAACTCCAAATTCAAGCATGGGTTGTTGGAGTTTAAGAAATGGAATGTGGTCCAATCGAAATCTCAGGTTGTAGAGGTTCATAAATGGAGGAGGCTAGAGGAAGGGTGGATAAAGTGAAATTTTGATAGGGCATGAGATAAGCCGAACAGCAGAGGAGGAGCTGGACTGATTATTCGAGAGGTGGCTGAGGAGTTTATTGCTACCTTGGCGATGCAACTGGAGGGGATTATGTCAGCTCTAATGGCTGAAGTTGCAGTAGTTCGAGAGGCTGCTCTATTTCTTCAGAGATGGCGTAATCATAATGTAATGTTGGAGGGAGACGCCTTGATGGTAATAGCTGCTATACAAAATAACATGGAGATTAATTATGGTCCCCTTGGGCATATATTAACTGACACACGGAGGCTACTACAACCTGTCCAACAATGGAAGGCTAATTTTGTGCGACGATGAAGTGGCACACCGACTGGCTCGCCACGGTCTTACTCTGCCACAGCCAGTTTTGCGGTTTGAAGAACCTCCCGATGTAATTTGTGATCTTATTTTGGAGGATAATTTTCATTCTTAATTTAGTTGGTGCAGGACACTCTTTTTCCCTTCATTCCGGTTTTACCCGGGAAGGTTTTTATTGAGGCTCATTGTTAGCACCATTTCCCATTGTTTGTACGTTATTCCCTTATGAAATGAATATTGTACTTGATTTCAAAAAAAAAATACTTGTAAGTTCATTATTAATATAAGTCCAATTAGTCTTCATAACATATTCGATATCATGATTTTATTATAACTCACGTTCCTTTGAAAACCTTACAATACAAACAAAGAAAGCTGAACACTTTCTCCACTCTCTCTTGCTGCAGCTCTCTATACCTTGTCGGTTAATATAGGCCACAACAACTACCTTTTTTTAATGTTTTATATTGAGGTATTTTCAGATTTTGTATGGCAATGTGAAAAAGTTAGGTTTTTTCTGCCTCTAAGATAATTTTTGAATTTCTTTTCTTAGCTTTTGTGATGATTGTTGTAGTTTGTATTTTGGGTTTTCAATTTTATATTTGCATATATGTATGTATATGTGTGTGTACACATTTGGAAATTTTCTAGTTTGTTTGAGTTTGAGCAAATCGGTTCTATGGAATTTTAATTTGTATGCAAGCAATGGTAATAAATGGTTTAATGTTTTACCTTTTTTTGGCATATGAGGAAGTTGGTCAATTTAACTGACCAACCAAATCAATGGACGGTTTGATACAAGAAAACAATTCATGAACAAACGAAGGGAATAGGAACCTATCTGGATCCTTGTGTGAGGATATCTTGGATCACTTCATTTGTTCACCTGTCATCATATGCTATAAATCATTTTAAATTTTTTATTTTAAAATTAATACAAATAATACTACAAGAAAATTGGCTGCATGATGTAATGAATGGACACGGTAAAGTAATCTCTGGAATTCTAACAAAGAGAATCTAGAGAGGATCCTCATCCCAATCGAAGATATAGGATCCTCACTGGATTCTCATTGTGAGGATCCGAGAATCCTTTAATCTTATCTGTTGTCGTACATCATGCAGATCAGTTTTCATCAAGTATTATTTATATTTAATTTTAAATAATATAATTTTAAATAAATTTTAACCGCACGATAAAATGACAAAATTAAAAGATTGAGGGAATTCTAACAGAGAATGCGAGGATCCTATTTCTTGTTCAAAAGCCAAACTCTATACAATAAAAAATAAATAAAGTTGAGATCCGATTTGGTGCATTCAACTCTATTTCGTTGTGAAGGCATTTAAAACTCCGGGACTCTTCCGCGCTACTCCCTTCCTCGGCCAGTTTGTGTCTTTCAGGCACGGCGGACGCCGTTGATGCTGACCTCTCCCAACCCTTGTCTCCTTCTGGATCGATGTCATCGACCTCTCCACAGGCTCCTCTCTCACATTCGTTAACGCTTAGTTTTTCTCTCTCTCTGAGACTCTTTGATACTCGGTGAATCTGCACTGAGTTCGACGCCAGTAAGCCTCTCTGTTCAAATTCTGTGAAATAATGATATTCATTAGTTTGCAAGGGGTTTAGGGTTTAATATTTCAATCAATCTCCAGTCGTATTTTTGTTGATTTTATTATTGTTGTAATAATTATTAATTTTCGTTTATTTGGGTGATTAGAGGAACCCTGTAAAATTCATTTATGTTGCTGTTGTATAATTGAATAGTTGAATTAAATTCCCTGTTTATCCAATAATGCATTTTCAAAGCTATGAATGCCAATTTTATAGATTTGAAATTCATTGATTCGGACGAGCCTTTGCATTTCTAATTTAAAATTATTAAAAATTCGGTTTAGAAAAGATAAATCTTTATAATCGTTCGAGCTTCGCATTGCTCACAGAAGATTTTGCAATTGTGTGGATAATGAGGCAAAGGCAGAGTGCTGCTGTCTCACCAGCAGCAGAATCAGTCAAAACCGAAAACCCAGTTCCTACGAAATTAGGTCCACAGCAAAAGGAATCCCGGCCAGGTGATTTTCTAGGCTCCTCCAGGAAGGTCTTTGCACTCTGTTTGGCCTTTCGAATAGCAAATGCTCTGTTGATTCAGACCTATTTTAACCCTGATGAACACTGGCAAGCCCTTGAAGTTGCACATCGCATCACTTTTGGGTACCCTTTATTTCCCCTTTCTTTTGCAAGGCAAAGAGTGAAGATTCTTGATTTAAAAGGGTAAATAACTAATCTTCAAATGGGTTTCTATTTTTATTGTTGTGTAAATGACAGGTATGGCCATTTGACGTGGGAGTGGAAGAAGGGGATTCGTAGCTATTTGCATCCTTTTCTCTTTGCCTTCCTTTACAAAGCTCTTGCAGTGTTGGGTCTTGATACCCCATGGCTCATGGTAATCGTTTTATAATTATGGGCAATGTATGCCTTAGTTAAACTATAATGCTGTTATTATATTATATGCAAGGGAAGGAAGAATGGGTTCCTGTGAACTGTATCTTTGGCGGACTTGTGGATATAAAAGTTCATACTTGTTACAAGTTAAAATGATCATCGGACAGATGCATCACTTGAGAAATTAGCTTATTCTGATTTTGAATCGTTATAGTTGCCTACATAAGTTTCTAGGAGTTATTATGAATTGTTGTCATTAAGTGATTTAAATGTTTTTTCACGTGCATTGGTATTTGTTCTAGAAAGGTTTCCCTTGATATCCTTATGCTTACTTTGCAACCCCAGATCACATCAAACTTCTGCTGCATGAAGTAATTCCATTTCTCCTTGTTGTCTTTTGAAGTTCTTATTGTCATCTTTATTCTATCTTCTGCAGGTCAAGGCTCCGCGGCTATTTCAGTCTTGTTTTGCTGCCTTTGGTGATCTATACTTGTATAAACTCTCTGTCATCCTCTTTGATGACTGCGTTGCTAAATGGGCTGTATCCTTTTGTACAGGGGTTCTTTACTCCTTTAATGGTAATAGTTATGTCTAACTGTATGTTTATTTCAGATAGTCAATTTCAATTACTATTATTGACTGAAAACACTATTGTAAACATCAGGCTCTTTCTGTTAAAGTATGTACTTAACTCAATTGCAGCTGTTCTCACAATTGACAAATTGGTTTATGTTTTACTGCATCACTCGTACATTATCAAATAGTTTGGAGACTGTTCTTACCCTTGTGAGCCTGTACTACTGGCCCTGTATGAGGGCTTCTTCCAGCAAACTTCCCTTGGAATCAAGGAAGTGGGGTTTGATTATTGCCGCATTAGCTTGTGCTATCAGACCAACAAGTGCTATCATATGGCTGTATGTTGGCCTTCTTGAGCTATTTTTGACATGTGATAAACTGAGATTCATTTTTCTGGAAGTGGCTCCTATGGGGTAGGTCTTTAGCCATCTCCCATTAAATGCTTGTTTTAAATAGTGCTTATATTAGGAACTTGATCATGAATTGTTTGTGCTTCTGAGTTATATCATAGGTTATTCTCATAATGATTTTTGTCCTGTTTGTTTTCTCTTTTATTTCGGCAGTGGACTAGTAATTGAAAATGAAGCTTGAATTGTGAATTTTTGAAGTTTGGCTTTAATGGTAACATGGAGTTATAGTTGATGAGGATAGATGCCAAAAAAAAAAAAAAGGAAACTTGTTGTCGCACTAATAGGTCCTTGTATAAAAGGAGTGGCAGCTGTAGGGTTATTGGTGATTAATGAAATTTGATATGCACGTGATAAAGGTGATGAAAACAATAATGATACCTTGAAATGTCTGTCACTTAAAACCAGTTCTCGGCTTATATAATTCTCTGAAATGAGTTTTAGCCTGGTTATGGAAATGATTTGGTAAAACATGTCTTATTTTCGTTTTAGTAGTCTCCATGTATTAAGTTAAGCAACATCTAGGAAAGACGTCAGCACCACTGCAGGGTGACTAAAAATCTTAATGAATTGTGTAAGCTCCTATGGAGGCAGGTCAAGCATTCATGTCAGCTTATGTGTAGTTTTGCATAGTTGAGTTGACATTATTATTGTTCTCTTTACTCTTTTTGACCTAATGTTTCAGGGTCCTGGTGCTTGGTATTACATTTTTATTGGATCGTTTGATGTACGGCTCATGGGTCTTTGTACCTCTTAATTTTATAAGATTCAATTTTCTCTCTGCTGGTGGAGACTATTATGGGACTCATAAGTGGCACTGGTACTTCACTCAGGGATTTACAGTCATGATATTCTCTTTCTTACCATTTTCTGTTGCTGGAATCATACAATCCAAAAATTGGAAACTTTCTGGCCTTATTGCATGGGTTTTAGGACTTTATAGTGTGCTAGGCCACAAAGAATTCAGGTACCTCTTCTATTAATTTATACAATTGAATATGGTTCTTTGACCTTTCATTCTGTTTACAATTTCTAAATTTACCTTACAGGTTTGTTCTGCCTGTACTTCCTATAGCTTTGATATTCTCTGGACATTCCTTAGCTGCATTAAGAACATCGGTTTCTGCATATGGTAGCAAATTCCCTGCAAAAATGCAGTTGGCCATCTTTTTCTTGCTCGCTACCAATATTCCAGTGGCCCTATATATGAGTTTGGTTCATCAGGTACTCATTTTGCTTTTTGATAAACACAAGGGCTGGGTAGCTTTTTATTGTTCTTTGGCAAGTACTCGCTTTAAATGCTAGACTTCTATCTTGAATGTTTTCATTTAAGTTGTTTTACGGTCCTTATTCCACTTCCATCTTTCCTTTTGGATAACACTTTTGAACATGCTAGACAGAGAGGAACCGAGGATGTTACTTACTATCTATCCAAAGAAGTGCTTCATGGAAAAGTGACAAATATACTTTTTCTGATGCCTTGCCACGCTACACCTTACTACTCTACGGTGCACCGTGACCTTCCGATGAGATTCCTAGACTGCTCACCAAGGTTTGATCCTTAGCAACGTGGATGGAATTATTTTCTTTCTTGCAGCTCTTCATGAGAACGGTTTGTAACTTACAATTTGTTGGAAATTTTGTCGACAGTGAAGAAAAAGGAATCCCAGATGAATCTGACCAATTCATGATGGATCCTGTTAGTTTTACATCAGAACTTGCAAAGAATTGGTCTTTACCTAGTCACATTGTAGTATTTGATTCGGAAGAAAAACAGTTGAGGGCTTTTCTGATTTCACATTCTTTCAAAAAGGTGCATGCTACAACTCATAATTTTACTGCTTAATTGTTGCATTTATGCCAAATACAAATAAGTTACTTCTTAAATTGCTTTCCATGGTTGCACTGTACTTATATCTGGCCTATGACGACAGATAAAAAGGTTTTTCCATGCGCACTTCAAAGTGGACCGTGATCTGCAAGCGTCAGTTGTTGTGTACGGTTTGACAGGCGACTGATTATTGTATGTGCAACTAGAACCACTCCAGTATGATGGGCTGGAAGAATTTATTGACTTTATGTCTTGATGAATGGAGTGAATGGCCAGAGCATGGGGGTTTATTGGAGACATGCCCGCCTCAGCAGATTCCAACTTCAGACCGCCAATTAGTATGTAACAAATTTTTTTCCATTCATTAACCCCGGATTTTATTAAATGCTTTGTTTCTGTTGTTTTTTCTGCGTTTTTGTGTGTCTATCTATGTTGTGTTAAACTTGATTTTTCAACTGGATACAGCCTGTGAGCATGGATAGGCTGTCATGGTTAAACATGATATCAGTTTTGACCCCTTTAGTGATGTGGTCTGAAAATGTCGTACAAATAGTTGTGTCGTCATCATACATAAGCTTTAGTGTTCCTATAATTTACTCGTCTCAATTTGCATTCTTCCCTCTGTTTTGCTTCTTGTATTCCTATAATTATTTGCTATCACATTGTAGTTATGCTTTGATAATACATTAGCTTGTTGTTTAGCAGAAATGATTGTGTTAAGCCGGAATGGCGAATTGATTATAGTCACAAGTGGAGGGAAAATATACACATAGGTGCAGCAATACAATGATCATGGGGATATAGCTCATAACACTAGTTCTTTTTTGGTCACTAGTTCATGTAGTATTGAAGATGATATTTCATAAATGAAGTAGAGACCATGAGCATATGGTTAATGGTTGTCGCCCATGTCTTGTACCGTTGATAGTCGGCTTCCATGTCTAGCTTGAATGCCCCCCTACTTGTCGTTAAAAAAATGCGATAACCCGTACCATTCTCACCCGCTTCTGACTCTTTATACAGCTCTGCGTACATGTCCAGTATGATACCTACTTACATCATAACGAAAAGCAATTAGAATCTGAAAATAGTTTCGGACTCAGATTCTTTTTTGAACTATCTCACGTGAGATGCGATTCACATTGTAACGAATTTTTCATTTACGTACTTTCCTTCGTGTTTTTGAATAGACTGAGCTTCCTCATTTGAAGGACCTGTAAAGTTGAATTAAGAATTGAAGTTTAAGCTCTAATTGAGGCTTTAGTTACTTCCATGGATTTACAAAATAGCAGTGAACAAGAGCAACATGCAGACCTTGGCTTCACTGTTGAGGATGGCAGACACCGATCTAACCTTGTACTTCTCTGCAAACACAATTTGCAAATTCAATTAGGAATTCGAAACCAAAATCCATGCTCTTTCGAGATTCGGAGAGTCGGGGATGCAGTAAACTTACACAATACAAAGAAATGGTATGTTCGCCGGAATGATGGAAATACAGATTCCACTTGCTAAAATGATTAGTTTCTGATCGATATGTCACCGATATTTGATTGAATTTTGATCAGTTCAACAGTTGAGATTTATAAACTCGTCATTTCATCTAATAATTTATCAAAAGAAAAAGCTGAATAAATGAAGGTATAAAATACAAACCGTCAGGTGTTTCAGTGGTGAGCTGGGAACCTATTGCAAGCATTGATCTATACTTGTCAACGTCGAAATCGACCTCCTCAGCGACAGGGTTGTCCTCGATAGGCATCACAGGTGCAGTCCCATTTAGTCTCTTCTTGCAGCATCCTTATCTTTCTTTCAATGTAGCTTCTCCCTTCAATGCTATATGTTTCAAACAACAATGAAAAAAAATTATGTGGTGCTTCCAAAGTATAAATTCTTCTTAGCATTGGCATTATTATATTAGGTTTTCTATACTGGATACTTCAGAACACAATAAAAAATTCTTCTTAGCATTGGCATTATTATATTAAATTGTTGTTCCTTCGTCGTTGGGTTAGGTATGGATGGTTTAGATGCCCCTTTTATGTGCATCTTTAACTGTCCATACCTAATCCAGATGAGCTGTGCTACAGTCAGTTACCGGTTTCTAACATTTGCTTGTTAGGATTTGCACTTGCGCATGAGAAATTAACTGTAGCATTCTTCAGTACCCATATTACACAAACCACCACATGTGGGTTATTTATATATCAAACCAAGGTAGAGAGCAAGGATAAGAGATATAGGATATTTACGCGTTGTAGCTGAGTTAAGATGTGTTGGGTTTTTGGCTCAAAATTAGGATGATGTAATAAATTAGGTTTGTGTTACCTATTTGGTTTTGGTGTCGTATTTGGGTTTGGTTTTGACTTCTTAGTTAGTTTCCTCGGTGGAGAGATTTTGTTAATTACCTATTTGATTAGGATTTGGATTTATTTCCTATTAGGATTCTTATTGTAACCTAAGTCCTATGCACTATAAATAGGACCTTAGGGTTAGTGTATTTAGTGTGGCTCATTCGTGTGGTAATATGGTGAGAGTCAATTTGTGAGTTTGTGAGTTAGAGAGCAATTTGGGAGAATCTTCTCTATTTGTTTGGGTTCTCTACTCGTTTGGTTTAGGGTTTGTAATTTGTGGGATTTGGGTTGTGAGAGTTTAAACACTCTTTTGTAATCTCCATTTGTTTAGTAAAATTCATTGCCGTGCTTTGCTCGTGGACGTAAGCTTTACGCCGAACCACGTAAATCTCTTGTGTTGGTTTGAGATTGTTTGTTTTAGCTTTCACCTATGACGTTGATATCGGTACTTTGTTAAAATTCGCTTCTATTTGCGCATAAAAGTACAACGAGATGTCACTTGCACTTGTGCTATTCATGGCCGAACCTATTACGCTGCTGAGCTGCTCCTTCCTTGCCCCCATTGCTTCTGCAACTTTTGCACACTGGGCCACCACCAGCGCGGCTGCAGAAGCAACGTCAGCTTCCTTGGCAGTGCTTGACCCATCATTTTCTGATTTTTCAGCTGCAATAGCAGCAAGTGCAGCCGCTACACCCGCCATCGATGATACTGCTGCATGGACTTCAGCTCTTTGCAGCCTCTGCTCCTCTTTCCGCCTTTGCTTAATGTCTTTATGCCATTTCTTGATCGACATGTTCTTAAATGGCACTATCTTCCATGACATCTGCACAAAAGAAGAAAGTATGACCAAAGTAATAGTCGCAGCTCAACTTCTTACAAGAACGTACGAGCCAATTCTACATACCCATTTCTTCCGAAGAAAGCCGGTGTAGTTCAATTCTGGATGCATGGCTAGTTGCATCCATATAAACGACTAAGGAGAAAGAAAAAAAATACAGTATGTTATCAGAATAATTGGTTTTAAGATACTCAATTAGCTGAGATGTATTTATATGCATCGTATATATGTTTCACCTTCACGTCATTGGATTTCCATGGTGGTGGAGGCTTGAGATCTGCATCATCCATCTTGTCTAGATTCTGAGAGTTGTAAAATCAATCTTGTGAACTCTTATAGTATGACATATCAAAAACTGAAATTGCGACAAATTTGACCTACCGCGTAAGGACTCTTGTTGTGGCTCTTAAACTTGTCAATCGGATCGTCGAGTAGAACCACTGATCGATCTTGCTGGTCTGGTTGGAAAGCTTGCACTGCAAAGCGCACTCTGCAAGGGACAGAAAATCCGTTGCCTCAGGATGTGACTCTGGAGTTGAAGTAGTGAAATTTGAATCCATGCAACTCAGCAGCAACTGGGACCTAAAAGGGTACTTTGGATATGGAGTTTAAGAGCAACTCCAGCGGATGAATTGCTGGAGGGACCGTGGGTGGAACAGGGCTGGATCGCCCGAGGGAGCAAGGCCAGTGTTGGCTGGCAAGGGAGCTGGAGCAAGCTCGAGCGTCAGGCCCGTGGATTGGTGCTGGCCCTTGAGCCCAAGATGTGTCTGACGTCAAACGCCTTTATTACTTTTTTTTTTTGTCAGGCGCGTGCCCTTCAAGTGCGTGTGGGAGCGCATCAGGAGACATAAAATCAGAAAACGGTCCCGCGGCGCAGATTTTTTTTGTTACTGTTGGATTTCAACGGATATAAATTGTGAACCGTTGGATTTCCAACGCTAAAAAAAATAAAAAAACTTCATTTAATACCAGTCATTAGATCTGAGATCCAAGGTCTTCTTTATTAGACTTAAAAAAAAATCAGTTAAAAAATTAGAAATGTTACCGTTGTGCCACATGGCAGAATTTCGAGTGTTGGAATTCAAATTGGTTTAAATCCAACGATATAGATTAATTAGGTGAAAAAAATTTTAAAAAAAATGTAAAAAATTATTAAAAATCCGGAAAAAAAATTTGAAAAATTTAAAAAAAAATGATTTTACTTTTCTATAAATACCTTCTCATTATCTTCTACCTTACACCACAATTTCATATCTTCTCAAAGTTTCAATCCAATTTCATAGTTTTATATATTTACTTTTCTATAAATTCAACATATATTGTCATGTTTGAATTCAATTTCATAGTTTTATTGTGACAACCCGTCCCAAATTTTATTAATATATAAATTTTCAAATGTGAAATTACAAAAATGCCCTAGAGACGAAGGTTTTGACTTTCATTGACTAACGTGTTGTGAGACGTACTAAATATTCTTTTAGCGTATTCTTGAGGTACTCAACGATACGAACGAGTATGCGCAAGCAGAAGTGAATTTGGAGTGACGAACCGAAAGTATTTTGAAGAAATAACTTTTCTAATTATATTATATTATTGTATGCTAATTAAAAGGACGTGTGTGTGTGTGAGTGTGTGTGGGTATATGACGAAAAGGGGAAAGGAAGGGCTGCCTGATGGCAGCGGAAGAGAGGGGAGGAAGAAAGCACAGAGGGGAGATGGACGAATCAGGAAAGGGGAGAGGAAGAAATTGCCCAATCAGAAGGGAGGGAAAGGAGGGAGGAGAAAAGGAGAGGAACGGGCTGGGTTTTTTTGACCCGGTTACGACCCACGCCTCTGCTATCAATTCCGACGGGTTTTCCATCCAATTTTTGGTGTTTTACGACCTCCCACCACTTGCAAACATCATCATACATTCCCTCCTTAGTTAATCACTCAAAAATTCGAGGTAAATGAAGCTATTTCACGGGGTATGGCGGCAATGGTGCCGTGGAGCCTTTGGTGACAATCCACTAATTTTCAAATGAAATACATTCGATCTTCACCACCAACATACTCCTCTAGAGACCAAGAACAAAGCCCAAACAAGTTTGGGGACGTCGGAGTTGCTATGGAGTCGAATTGTGGACACCTAAATTATAGGGTTTCGGTGGGTTTTAGAAAAATTGGGGCTTTTCCAGGCCAAATTGGCCTTGGTCATAGGTATGAAAATTATTCTACCCTTTAAGACCTTCATTTCTGTAATTTTTGAGAATTTTTAGAAATAGTTGGATTTTCCGACGAGTCGGGGTGGCCAACTGCCACTGCCGGCGGCGCATGGTCAGTGGGCCGCCAATGCTATTTAGGCTATATTAAATGTCTTGAATTCAGTTTTGATATTGGAATGACGTAGGTTGATCATTGGAACCTAAATTCTCTAAGATACGTTACTAGGTATTTATGTGAATCGATGATCCGACCGTTGGATCATCACCAAACTTTGTTACATTGTAGTACGTAATATTTGAAGAATGTAGGAACTCATGGATTGGGAATCCGATGCATGGACCTTTCCGAATTGGATTTGTAAGTTAATAAAATAAAACGTTAACCGCCACTTGGTTTTGGGCAACTGGCCGAGATCCGACCGTTGGATCAAAATGAAAATTTAGTATGTTATTCTAGAAGCATAATGTGGATCTTTGGAAGTTACAGATTGGAAATTTGATATGCGGATCTTCCGGATCGAGTTATGCAGTGTTGTAGACCGTACTGTCGATCATTGATCGACAGTTGACTTATGGTTAATGAGTCTCAAACTATTTTGGGATGTCCTTGAGAATGTGCCTTATGTGAATTACGTATTCTATTAATAAGAGTTCTGAGCTGTGATTCGATAATTGGTCATAGGCATCCATCGTTCGGGACATCTCGATGTACGTGCTAGGGAATCATTGCGTGGGCCTCATGTGAGTGGGTCTTTTCCTTTCTATCGTATATTATATATATATATATATGTGGTTGATAATTCCATAAACGTATGTCATTGATTATGGCTTACGATTACTGTGAATGCTTTGAAGTAATTATTGTGAACTACGAATGACTTGATCCATGTTTAGGGTACGTAGGCAGTCTAGCGAGACGTTATATCCATCCATATAATAAATGAGACTAAATAATTGAGACAATATCATTTTTTGGGGAGTTGAGCATTCTGAGTGGGCATTTGTTTATCTATATATATACACTTTAGGGTTTCCAGAAATGTTTTAAGTTGAGTTATGCATTTCATGCTATGTCTATAATGTGTTATATTCTAAGTGTTACATTGTTTTGAATTATGTTATGCTAAACAATGCTGAGGAGGCGCAGGTAAGTTCAAGTAAGTATACGGTATTAGTTGAATTAATGGGGTTATGGTATGACTACATTTATATTTTAAGCAACTTCGACACTGTCGTACAGGTTGCAATAGTAGGCAACTCCGGCGTTGTCGTACATGTTGTATTAGATGCATTTAAAGCTCATAAACTTGCACCCCGGTGTTAGTGCTCTCGCCCGTGGCCAGGGCACAGTCCTTCACGTAATGTTCACCTCCCGCACCATGCGCTCACCTTGAATTCAAGATAGGTGCACAGGCCTGTCGTACAGACCACTATAGGTGGTTCCGACTCGTAGGTGACTCTTCACATGATCATAGCACTTGAGCATATTCATTTACACCCAGTCCTATCGTACAGACCACTACAGTGATTCCGACTCGTGTGCAGACGTAGTGTCGTACAGGTCACTAGAGGTGACTCTGACTTACATGCTAGCCATGATTGATAAGATACTTACATGCTAGCCATGATTGATGAGATATGTGATGAGATATGAATATGTCGTACAGGTCACTAGAGGTGACTCTGACTTACATGCTAGCCATGATTGATGAGATATGTGATGAGCTAGCATATGTGATGAATATGTGATAAGCTAACATATATGATGAATACATGATGAGCTAACAGATGTGATGAATACATGATGAGCTAGCAGATGTGATGAATATGCGATAAGCTAGCATATGTGATGAATATGTGATAAACTAACATATGTGATGAATACATGATGAGCTAGTAGATGTGATGACTATGTGATAAGTTAGCATATGTGATAAAATATGTGATGAACTAGTATATATGATGAAATACGGGTAAGTTGTACAAGTCACCATAGGTGACTCCGACTTACGTACTATTATGAGTTATTAATCATATGATTATTTGATATTGCTGACGAGATGCTGTGTTGTGGTATGTTTATGATTTTTCTGGAAATTATACAGGTGTTGTAGCGAGAGGTTATAATGTTTTATATGGTTTCTATTAAATTTTATTTATAGGGCCACTCGCCCTTGGCTTGTCTTCACCCTCCAGGTTTTCTTATCTGAGCTTTCTTATCGTCGAAGAGTCGTGGCGATTCTTAATATTGGAGATTATCTCGAGGGTACGATTCTTAATTCACTCTTCTGTACTTGCCTATGTTCTAACGTCACGTGTGAAGTGGGTTCACTCCCGTTCACCAGTGCACTCTGGTATTTAGGCACTCTTAGGTTTAAATTTATTCACATTTTTCTACATCATCACATTTTATGGCTTCGTTACCTTTCGGGTGTCAGCTAGCACAGCTCGATTAGGAGTCCTAGTGGACATTCCGGGTCGGGGTGTGTCATTTATATATTTACTTTTCTATAAATTCAACATATATTGTCAAGTTTGAATTCAATTTCGTACTTTTATATATTTACTTTGCTATAAATCTAATTTCATATATTATCAAGTTTCAATCCAATTTCATAGTTTTATATATTTACTTTTCTATAAATTCATATTAACTTTTCTATAAATTCAACATATATTGTCAAGTTTGAATTCAATTTCATACTTTTATATATTTACTTTTCTATAAATCTAATTTCATATATTGTCAAGTTTCAATCCAATTTCATACTTTCTTAAATACCTATCTTTCTCTCAAAGTTTCAATCCAATTTTTTTTCCAAGAAAATGATTAATGATGTAGGTACGAATTGGACGCTTACTGAAGATGTTACGTTGTGTACTAGTTGGGTTGAAGTTACTCATGATCTGATTTCGGGTAATGAGATGCAGTTGAGAGAAATGTGCGGCCTTATTCATACCAATTATCTTGAGAAAATTGGTGCAAAAAGAACCAAAGAATCCTTGTTCAGTCGTTGGAGACTACTTGAGCAAATTGTTTAGTACATGGAGAGATGCCTTGGCACAAGCTAGTGCTAATCTTCGAAGTGGGGAAAGTTTAGTGGTTCAGGTAACGATATATTTTTTATTTGTTTGTACTATACCCAAATTTACATTACCTACTTTGATTATAATTATTTCTTCTCCCGCATTGTGTCGGACCTTCAAGCACAAGTTTGGTATAATGCCAAAACCACAAGCAAAAACAAATCGTTCAACCGGTGGGAGTGTTGGAATATTGTCAAAGATTGTCCTAAATTCAAAGTTGTGCCTATTGGTCCAGAAGTAGCCTTTAACAACACCCATCTACACTCTAC